GAACCCGGGTCTCTCTGGACCGCAGGCTGACGCTTTAACCCCTGAGCCAAACCGGCCAGGGCGATAAGGCATGATCTTGATGAGAAGTCTCGAAGAGATGCTCTTAGATGTAGAAGAGACCGACATGGTCCATACTCTGAAGCATGGGTCCTGGTGCCACAGAACCTTGATTCCTATCCCACCTCCCAGGGGCACGTACAGCTGTGCCAATGTGAGCAGGTCCCCTACTCGTTCTGAGGCTCCGTGTGTCACCCATGTAAGGAGAAACTCGCGTTGTCCTTGTGTGATTACTCTGAGGGTTAGTGGTGGGATATGTAACGTGCTTAGTGGAGTCTGACACACAGCAGGTGCGCAGCTGGAGCCCATTCTAACGCATCAGGAAATAAATGTGTATTTTATTGATTTGAGAGAGAGAGAGAGAGACATATATTTGTTGTTCCACTTATTTATGCATTCATTGGTTGATTCTTGTATGTGCCCTGTCTTGGGATCAAACCCACAACCTTGGCGTATCAGGATGATGCACGAACCAACTGAGCTATTTGGCCAGGGAATCTTTTCTATAATTTAAAGTTTTTTCCAAGAAAGTTTGTCCAATTTCTCAGGCAAGGCAGCACAAAGCTTGTCTGAAATGGAAGGGGGAGTGGAGAAATGAAAAATACAGGAGCATAAACACGAATATTTCAATAAGTTACCACTCCATGAACGTCAAAGTGTGCGTACATAATGCTAATGTCAGAGCTGAGGAGCAGCAAGGGGCAGGGGGCCTAGAAAGATGGGTCACAGGACACGTGGAGGGGCTGGCAGAGGCCCAAAGGGTCACTGAGTGCCCTGTCATCCTCTCTGGCATTTTGTTCATGGAGACAGCTGTGGCAGCTTTCATTTTATAGGTGGAGAAAGTAGGGCTCAGAGAGGTGAAGTGACCTGCCCCAGGTCACACAGGTCCATGTGGTCTTCCTGAGCCCTCAGCCCCACTAACAGTCTGGAAAGGGGCAGAGAAGGACCCTGGAGCCATTGCTACTCACTGCCTAGCTTCTGGCTTTGTGACCTTGGATCTGCCAACACCACTGTGTGACCCTGAGTGTGTTATGTCACCGTTCTCTGCCTCAGTTTACTTCTCTGAAAGAAAATAATACGTTTTGGTCAGGAGAAATGAGCAGACATGACCTGGCCCAGAGAGAGCCATGGGAATGGTGGCTCCCGCTATGACCACGTCTCAGTTGGGGTGCTCAGGTGGGCAGGGGGAGAGAGATCTTTCCATTGCAGCTGGGGAGCGTCTGAGTCATCCGGATGGGAGTTTTGGAGTTGATCAGGGGCTATCTCTCCAGAAATACAAGAGAGGGATGAGCAGTTGGGAGAGCGGAACCTGGAGGGTGAGTAAGGCCACCTAGGGGGCAGGTGGAGGGGCCAGGGGGTAGGGTCCAGGTCCAACATCCCTCTTGCCTCAGGGCGGGAGGGCGAGGAGTCTCCGGGCCTGAACTGGGCAGAGGAGCCAAGGCAGCATCAGACAGTGAAACAGGGTAACAGGAGGTATTTCTTTCCTCCTCTCTCTCCTCCCCCTCATTTTCTTCCTATCCTCTCTTCTCTCTTCCTCCTCTTTCTCTGTCCCTTCTTCCACGCATTTCTCCCTTCCTCTCCATGTTCTAAAAAGCCTGTACAGTAAAGCCTGCTCTCGGAGCTGTCATGAGTAACCCACTTGTGTACCTGCGGTTTACCTACCTGTAGAAAATTTGTACCCTAAGATCTCCACATGCTGTGGACAAATGTTTTTTAATTCAACTCCACAAATATTTACTGTGCTCTGGTTAACTGAGCGTACTTTGTGCTGGAGGTGACAGAGAGATGCAAATGGGCAAAGCCAGTCCTCGGAGGAGCCAGCCTGGGGCCCCTGGCTGGTGCTGGCAGGACACATGCCCCCCTTCCCCAAGGTTGCTAAGGAACTCTCTGTCTTCCAGGGCCCCGGGCCCACTCCTCTCCCCCACAGCGTGCGGAAAGGGCCATGCTGCCAGTCCTGTAGGATCTCAACAAGCCCGTGCATTGAAGGTGTCATCTGTCGGGATGAGGTAGCACTCAGCCTGTAGGTACTGGAGGGCTCGGTGAATATCTGTCTGTTCACTGCTGATGGCACACGCAAGCTGGAATTTGGATTTTGCATCCAATTCTTCCTCTCCCGTGAGTTATCTGAGATCAGCACACATAGGTCTTTTCCTCAACATATTTTTCAGGGCCATAGCATGCTTTGACATAGACAGGCCTTGATTTCATTTGCATGTTGTTCAATTTGGAGGGTAAGGTTCATGCCTAACAGTCAACCAAAGTTAAGTCAAGTCCCACAATGAGCATGGTGCTGATTTGCAGAAGTTCTTGGGGTGAAATGGACTTTAGAAAAATGAGGGAAAATAAGATCTGAAAAGGGACAAGGAAGATGCAGCCAGGAAGACTTACCCCACGTAATTTATGCTCTCTGATGTCCTGGCCTGGATGTGGTGTGGAGCAGTATGTGAGTAGTTCTGGCTGATAAATGATGAAGAGTGACACGTGCTTCCTCTGGGCTGGATCTCTGAGTTGTACCACATGTGCACCCCTCTGACAGCCCCCAGCAGACATGTGGTGGAATGAGACATGAGCCCTGGTTGCTTTAAGCCACTGAAGTCAGGGCTTGTTTGTTACTGCTGCATAACCAGCCCATCCTGACTGGTATGTTGGGAAAACAAAAAGCTTGATTTGAGAGGTACACTTCCGTTGTCCTCTCTTCAAAGTTCAAAATATCATCTCCCTTCTCCACAGTTTTATCAGTCAAGACTGTCCTTTATCTGATCAATATTTATCATGTAGCATACTTAAAAGATATAACCACGTTTTGTTAGGATAGTAATGGAAAGAAAGCCATGGCTCTACTTTCCCCTCACCTCTAATGTATATAGAACAGCTAGTTTAACGTCCTAGCCGAAGAAGGCATCACCTCTCCATCTTTGACTTACTTGTACCTCCTGGGTGCCAGCCACTGTGCTGAGCATGAGAGGGAGACAGAGGTGAATAAAACTCCGCCTAGTACAGTGACACAGAGGGGTTTGGACCTAGTGCTCAGAGCACAGAGGAAGAAAGGCCTCACCATCCTTCCCCACCAGATGGACCCACTCAAACACTCCATGATCCACCGGGATTTAACATCTGACCTTTTCCCTGGCCCTGTGACTTTCCAGATTGCCTTATGCATAAACAGGCTTTTGTATAGGTACAGTGTGGTCTCTGCCCTGGAAGGCGAGGGACCAGTAGGGTGACCAGGGAGCAAATCCCTTCCATATCCCCACACCCCCGCTCTGTAAAACCAGGACTAAATGAGAGCCTGGCAATCTAGGCAAAGAACTGCAAGTGCTCATCTAGCCATGTTCCCTGGGAGGAAACCCTTCCTCATTTAGAGTGTGGGGTGGGCTGTGAGCAACTCCCATCCCAGTCTCCTGTGGGGGGAATCACTGGAGAATGACTTTGCACTGGAGCTTGTTCAGCTGCCTTTAGCAAGCAACTCATTCACAAGTGAGTACAAATTAATACAGTACAAACTGGCTACATAAATATTGTGCTGTAATTGATTGTCTTCTGTAATCAAAGGCAAGGCTGCTGACTTCCTTACTTTTCCCTACATTATGACTGCTGGAGGAAAACTTGGGGGGAAGGGAACTGAGGTTATAGAGGTGGTTTCTGCTGCATGTTTCTGTTTGCAAGTTCTGTGTGATGTATTGAGAGGATAAGGCCCATTACATTAAGAGTCAATAAGTATTTGTCAAATGCCTATTATGTGAGAGGCATTGAAAGTCACATTATCTTGTTTCATCATTAAGTTATAGTAGTAACGATTTGATAATATGGCAAAAAGTCAGATTATCTTTACAATAATATTTTTCCTGGTATATATTATTGTTAGAATTTAAATAATCCTCTAACTTTTAAAAACCCTGTGTAAGTTTATAAGGAAACTGAAAGGATCTGACAGTGCCCAACTCTGCTTACAGAAACCACAAGGGGCAGAAGAACAAGATTTTGGATTCTAGGTAGATGAGCCTGTGATCTCCACACTGGTTGCCTGCATCCACTTTATTGACTGCTAAACTACCTAAATGCATGGAATTGGACATTTTAAATCACTTCACACAATACAAGAAAGCGACACCATCTCTCCATTCACCTTCCGAAGCTAAGGCAGGCGTGGTTTCCCAGCAGTTCTTGACTTGGGAAGAGAGTGACTTCGCGGGGCATCCTCTCCCACTCACATCCACCCTGCCGAGACTCGTGTGCACTTCGGAGAATCTGGAGGGAGCTCTCCCTTTTCGGGAAGCCAGAGTTTTTAAATCCACAGACCCCCTTTGCCCTGTTGAGGCGGTGGGTGTCAGAGACTCTGCATACATCCCCGGGAAAGCTCAGCTGCCGCCTGTCCCCTGCGGGTAGCGCAGGTTCCCTAAGCTTGACCTGAAGTCAGCCTCTTTAACCCCTTTCTAAAACGTCACTCAGCTGGGCTGTCGTTTGAAAGAAAAACGAAACTGCCCGGTTCTGGGCGTCGGGAAAGGGTACTCGTTCCCTGGGGGCCAGGGGCAACTTCTCCGCTACCTGGTCTGTCCAGGGACATTAAATCATCGCGTTCCGCCAGACCCCTCCGCGCTCCCGGTGCCCGGCCGGCGCCCGCCCCTTCCCTCTGCAAACGCCGGCACGAGTGGGTGGCAGCACCGAGGCGATTTTATTCGTATTTTTTTCCTCCGGGTTTTGTCATGGAAACGCTGACACCACCTCCAGCCGGCGGCCCAGCCGGCCGGGGACTGAGGGCTTTTGGGACCCTGCGGGAGCGCGGCGCGCGCTCCGCACTCCCCGGGAAACAGCTGGACGCGACCAAGTCCCGGGTAGGGGCGGGGGGAGCGCGACGCTCCGCCCCGACGCTCCGGTCCCTCCCTCCGCCCGGCTCTCCGCCGGCGCCCTCCCCGCGCTGAGGGAGGCGAGTTGCATTTGGTAAAGCCCAGCCCCGGAATATATAGATCATTGAAGCGCAATGAAGTAGCCTTTGGAAAGGAGGGAGGGGGGCCGGTCCGACAGCCACAGCGGCCAGCACAGCGGCAGCCGCGGCAGCACCACCATCACCGTTCGCACCCCAGCCGCCCGGCCCGCGAGGAGGCAGCGGCGGCCGCCGGCGGGAGCGGAGGCGGTGGCGGAGAGGCGAGGAGGAGCAGCAGGAGGATCCGGAGCGTGCAGCCAGCGGGTCCACGCATCTTGGCACTTCCAGAACAACTCCAACGTCTTCCACACCCCAGCCCGGGGCTAGGGGCTCCGAGAGCGGCCGCAAAACCAGCCCGATCCTCCTCCCGAGCCCTCCCAGCCCTGCCTTGCGCCTCCCGGGCTCCGCTCCGCGCGGCGGGGTCCCCGCTCCTGCGCCCCGGGCGCGCCTCCCGGACACCTCGGTCCCCGTAGGCAGGACAAAGCCATGAAGCCGGCGCTGCTGGAAGTGATGAGGATGAACAGAATTTGCCGGATGGTGCTGGCCACTTGCTTGGGATCCTTTATCCTGGTCATCTTCTATTTCCAAAGTATGTTGCACCCAGGTAGGGGGCGCGTTAGCGTGGTTTTGTTGGATATTTTCTTCTCTCGCGCGCTCTCGCTCGGTCGCTCCGCCTGGCTTCTGCCTTTTCCACCCTTGCCTCTTCTCCCTCGGCCACCTCGGGGCTCCTCGCTGCCCGGGTCTGCCGGGCGCGGCGTCGGGATGGGGAGGAGGAGGGAAGATGTGCTCTCTCCTCTGCTTCTGGAGGATGGGACGGGGGGGGGGGCAGTTTTGTTTTTTCTCTCTCTTCTTCTTTGTGTCTCTTGTCTGTCCGTCTGCGAGGTAGCTGGGAAAGGTGGAGGTTGTGGGAGGCTGCTGGGGCGGGGGTGGGGGGTGGGTGTGGGTGTGGAGGGTTTGGTTTGAAGGGAACGAAACTCCCTCCCGGTTTTGGCCGAAGTCGGAGGATGAAAGAGGCGTCGGGAGCCGGCCGCCCTACGACCCGGAGCGCTGCCCCTTCCTGGTGGGGGTGCCAGGGGCGAAGGGTGCCGGCCACCGCGAGCTCTGGAGCCCGGGGCTAGGCTCCCACGTGTCCGGGGCTCGGCGCCGCGCTGAGCAGGTGTGGGGAGAGGTTGAGTGCCCGGCGCTGCCCCTCCACCATGCAGGGGAAGGGGCCTGGCACTGGCAGTTTGCCCCCGGGGCTCGGATCCGCAATGACCTTGCGGCTAGTGCCGTTGGGCCTGCGCCAGCCGTACCCCCACCCCACCCAATCCACCCCCACCCCCGGAGCTCCTGGGTCACGCCTTGGCCACCGCAGTTTTGGAGGAAACTTCGGCCAGGACTTGGGCTGACTGTCAGGTCGCATCCCTTGTCCTGGGCTCCGAGCCCCTGGAGTCCCCCGGGCTGTGTGGGTATAAGTCCCCTCCTCCCAGACCCCGGTGTCTGAGACGCTTTCACATCTGAAATTTGGACTGGGGGAGACCCAAGGATCGCCCCTTCCGAGGGGCGCAAAGGGAAGTTTGGGACCTGAGAAGGGATGGGCGCCCTGGAGCGCGGCTGCCGGGGGTTCCCAGCTCGCCTCTGAAGCCCAACAGGTAGAAAGAACCTTCTTCAGAGGAGGCTTCCGGGGTAACTCAGTCTCCCCGCCCAGCCAAGGGCGTCCCCCATCCCCCCCCTCCCCTCAGCTGGCCCCGCAGGGCCACATTGGCTCTGAAATCTGTTTTTACGCCGGTGAGTTGTCTTTTCAGCATAGTCTCAGCAATAGTTTGCTGTTATAATTTTAAGGAGAAGGGAGCTGGAAACACGTTTCCTTCCAGGGAAACGGGAGGGATGTTTTTCTTTTTGCCGCCGTCTTCTCCTTTCAGTACGTCTCTAACACTTTCAGCAGACCCGAATTCATCTAGCCTGTGTTTGGGTCCGTGGCAGAGGAATAAAGCTGTTCTTTCCATCAAATAGCAGGCAGCCGGCTGCGGGATTCCTTGACAGCGCCGGGACAGAGTGGCCCCTCTGCCCCACTCCAGGAGCAGTTGTTAAGGCGGCCACTCTGCCAAGGATATGGTCTGACACCACCACTTGTAACCTCAGGACATCTGAGCCAGCCTTGTAAAAGATGGCTTTTGTTTGCCGTTGGGTATTTTTAGTTTCATGTCAGCAAACTACAGTGAGGGTTTGTCACCTCACCCAAACCGGTGGTTGTGAAACTTCTAAGGGAATTTAAAAATGGACCTCCTTAGCCATCTGCAGCCAGGCCGTGGTTGCAGCGGGCAGGACCAGACAGTGGCATCCTGGAGACCAGGCCAGACTCCACCCCAGAGGGCTGGGGGACTGGGTGGTGTGCAAATACACTGAGGCTCAAACAATTTAAACAAAGGACTGAATGCTTTGGTCTAGACTCCGGTGATGTGCTTAGGCCACTTAAAGTTTTGCTTGGACTGGACATGTCAGGTAATTCTCTGCAGAAATGCCTGGAACAAGGAGAAGTGTCAGTCTCCAGCAAGAATGCACTTGAACTTCTCTGTACCTGTTAGTTGTCACAGTGAAATACTAATGATACTACTATTATCCATGGTTTCCATGCATCCAGGGCTTTCTTCTCCTGTGTGAGAATTAGGAAGTAACTTTCTAGCAAGAGATATCAGGAAGAAACTCACAACTTGTAATTGGCACTTTGCTAAAATGTCCAGCTCTAGTCAGAATATTAAGTCAGGTAGAAAGCGGCATTAGCCCTGTCAGCCTGGTCTTTTGGGACCAGCGGGAGAATGTTTTCTAAGGCTCTCCTGATAAAGATCTCTGTCCTTGACCCTCTGCTCTCAGCCTTTGCTCTCCTTCCTGGTTCCATTTCCTCCCAAGAAACGGCATTTGTTTATTACTCACATCGAGATGAGTGTACCCTCCTGATATTTATTTCCCAGTCCATAGGAACCAGTACTTTCAATATGTTCTATGGAATGCAGAACTGTGGATAGCTCGATTGAAAAGTCTTCTTTATTTTGAATTACATATGGTTCCACAAAACACTCTGTGTCAATGGTTTATTATCATATGGGACATAAAAATATGCTTTGAAATTCATATTAAACATTTTCTTTTTTCCCCCATTAAAAAATATGTTTTTATTGATTTTTTTTTAGAGAGAGAGAGGTAGAGGTAGAAACATAAATGAGAGAGAAACATCCACATCAATTAGCTGCCCCCTGCATGCCCCCTATCGTGGATCAGCCTTCAGCTTGGGCATGTGCCCTGACCTGGAATCGAACCAGCGATCTCTTGATGCATGAGTTGAAGTTCAACTATTGAGCCACTCTGGCCAGGCTTTTCCCCATTTTTTATTTATGTTTTATTTTTATTTTTTATCCTCACCCGAGGACATTTTTTGCATTTATCTTCAGATAGAGCAGGAGGGAGAGGGGGAGGAAGAGAGAGAGAGAAACACATGGAATGGTTGCCACCCACAGGGCCCCGATTGGTGTGGGGACAAACTGCAACCGAGGTACTTGCCCTTAGAGGGTCTCTCTGGTCCGTGGGCCAATGCTCTAACCTCTGAGCCAAACTGGCCAGGGCTTTCCCCCATCTTTTAAAACTACGCTGTTGCCCTGGCCGGTTTGGCTCAGCAGTTAGAGCGTAGCCCTTGGGTCTTGGGTTTGATTCCCTGTCAAGGGCCCTTACCTGGGTTGCAGGTTCTATTCCTGGCACTGGTTGGGGTTGTGTGGGAAGCAACCAATTGATGTCTCTCTCTCTCCCTACCTCCCTTCCACTCTCTAACAATCAATGGAAGAATATCCTCAAGTGAGGATTAACAACGACAGCAACAACAAAACCTACACTGTTCATGATGGCTGATGGTAAATCTTTTTCCTGCCACTTTAAATTTCTTTGAAAGTTAGCTGATCTTTGCTTCTCTGAAGGATTTAGGGTAATGATAACTGATCCTTTTCCCTGGCTCTTCAGTTGTAGTTTCTCCAGATCACCCTGGGAGAGGCAGAAGGCACAGCATGGCACAGATTGTGTTGCTAAAAATTTGGAGCCCTCTGGCAGGAGTTCCGAATACCTATATCCGAGATAGAAAAATAGTATTTCAAATGACATGGATTCATCGGTGGCTAGAATACCTGGAGTGGGAGAGGTGGGAGAGAAAGAATAAAAGGAGACAGCGAGTTAGTGATGGGGGGCGGTCTCTTCCTCTGATTCGAATCTGGGTTCCATTGTCTTTTGTGCTTTTCTAATTCATAAACTTGAGTCATTTGTACACTTGAGCGTCTGATCTTTAATTTGGTTGGAAGGTTCAGCAGAAGGGGTCCTTGTCAGTCAGTAAGGCAGTTTTCTCTAGATTTTTGACACTCTTTGTCAAGAATATCTTTTAGGGCAGGGACCAGGTTTTAGGCCCCATTCGAATCCTGTTGTTTTTTGCACAGTGCCCAACACATAGTAGGTTCTCAATAAAATATTTGCTGGATGAAAGCATGAGGTGGCTACACTCTAGAAGACTGGCTTCTCCGTGGTTCAGGAAGGTGTGTCAAGCTTGCCCAGCAGGCCTGGTCCGTAAGTCTGGTTCTGTCCTGTGGGGACACTTCCCTGCCTTTCTGGTCTTTGAGATGCCCCGAGACATGGATTCAGTTATAGCTCCTGATGCACCAGACTGGACTAGTCCCCATGGCCTTGATTTGTTGCCTGCAGGTGTGAGGCAGCTGAGACACTGCTCAGTGTCCTGGGTACTAAGGAAACCTGGCCTTGTTTAGCTCAATGACCTGAAGAAACACATCCGCAGGACGGACACCTTCTGTGGGCATGAACTGCTCCTGAAGTCAGTGAGAATAGAACCACTTGCCTGTGGTTTCAGCACGCGCTTGCGCCCCTCAGTGAATACATCCTGCAAAGGTGCATCTCTACATGAAAGTGCCTGCTATCTGCCCCGGACAGGGGGCTTTGATGGAGCTGTGTCCTGCAAGGCAGAGCCGAGAGGTCCCCAGGCTGCCGCGTACCCAGCGTAGGCCGCTCCTCTGCACTTCCCTTTTGTGTCACTCCTGAGGTCTGTGCTTTTGTTTGAAAGCTCCTGCATGGAAGCCTGCGGAGGAGAAAGCCCTTAGCCTTGGTCCCTTCCTCTCACTGCGATTTCTTGTTCCTCTTGCAGTATGTTCACTTTCACCGTCCCCAGGATTTCTGTGCTTCGGTCGAAGGTACTGAAAGGTGATGCCCTTTATTTAAAGACTTCTTGAGTTACCCCTTTGTAGTTTCACTTGATTAGATTCCAAACACTTGCGTTACACTTTTAATCTCATGATAAACAATATGTGCTCATTTTAGAAAACGTAGGAAGTTCAGAAGGGAAACAGTCCTTCTTTATTCCACCACCCAGAGGGACTGGCACTTTTTCTGTATGTCGTGGAATATAGAGACATCTGTTTACACTGTATATTATATATATAATATCACTATATATTAAAGAATAGTTGAGATCACATCATGCATTTATTTTGTACCACATTCGGTCATTTGTATTTTAGACAAATACATCATGATGGTGACTATTAAGTTTAAGAACAGAAAATTTAACCA